GCAAATGCTAGCCCCCTCGGTCCCCGCCCCCATAGCAGATTTTCCAGCTGAACTGGACAGGTGGGCAGTGTTTTGAGTTTGTTTTTCAACTGTTAAGTTGTGGAAAAAAAACATATACCCCGCACGACAGGTTCGAAATAACCTTTTTCTTTTTAAATTTAAAGTTTTGGGTTGCTCCGTTTTCTGGTACCAAGTTCTAAAAGTCTTCTGAGAGCTGAATTAGTTGCTTCTTCCATCAGCGGAGTCAAGTCATTATTTTGAATGTAGAGGACCCTCCATAAAAATACACCTGATTAATTGAGAGGCTATAGCCCACAGCTTTTGAATGAGAGACCTGGGTTTTAAACTTCAGCAGTGAGACTTGTTAAATCGGGATGACTATTATTTTGTACCACGTGTGATGTCCGTGGAGAGGGAGGAGGGACACAGCCCTGGTTTCCCCAGGCTAAGGGTCCAGGCTCCCCAGTAGGACAGGTGAGTGGAAGAAGAGCGGCGCTGTTGAAGTCACCTGGACTGTCCCGTATTGTCTGCTACCATTAAAATTGAAAATGGCAATAAAGAACAGCAATTCCTGGTGAGAAATCTTCCCGGGCGTTGAGACTGCCTTACTCATTTTCAGGTCTGCCTTAGGTGCCGCAGGCTGGATGCACCGTGGATTTAGAATTGAGTCAACAACGTGTGTTGATTTACAAGGAATCGGGTGGGGCTGCTGGAGGAGGGCCCCTTGCACTCCTGCCTGTTCTGTTTCATGCTGAGTTTTGGCCCAGGTTTCTTCCTCTGCCTTTCACTTGTGATCTTTTTTTGCTTCAAGCAAGAGCACACCTGCTGCCCTTTCTACTCACTCTCTTTGAGCGAGGAGGAAGTGAGAGCCAGTAGCCTTACTCAGATACTCTACTGAGCCGCCCCTCCACAGGGTTTCCTCTGGGGATCTGATTCAGAACCCACCTGATCTCACCGGTGCCTTCTAATCAGTTGCAAAATCCAGTGAGTTAAGATCTGGGGAGAGGTATTGAATCCTAACTCCTGCTTTTGTAAGTTACTCTTCCGTGTGTACTGAGGGTGGGAGAGACCCAGGGGCGTAGGCAAAGGCAGAAATAACAGCAGTCTTTAGCCCTGAAATGATTGTAACCTATAGCTAAATCCTTAAGGGGAGTTCATTTTGTACTTGCTCCCCACGCCCCTTCAGAATTTATTTTATTTACTTCTTATTTTTAGTATTTTTTTATTTTCTAAAGTTTTACA